TAAGACATTTACTACAACTTGCTCCGGTGCATCAATCGCTTCTTTCGCCGAGCTTCCGGCGAACTTCCGGCGAACATCCGACGAACCTCCGGTGATGCTCCGATGGACTTTCGGTAAACTCCTGGACTTGCGACGATCCACTTGGCGAGTTCCGACGAGCTTCTTTTAGCAAGCTCTTGGACTTTTCGGATTTATTCCCGTAGAACCTCCGATGACCGTCCGGACTTCTGTCGAGCTCTCGAACTCCCAATGTGATCATAGTCTTTGACTCCGGCTCAACTCCTGCTGCATATCTTACTTTCATCGTAGTTAATCCTGCACACTTAAAACAAAACTTCGATCGAGACAATTAATCCTAAGCAATTAACTAAGTTGTCCGGCATGTCATTGGTCCCTCGACGCTTCGTCCGATTCTTCGGCGCATCATCCTCTCCTGCGGCCTATTGCCCAATCGGTCAGTTGACTCCACAACTCCGATATCCTTGGCGCAATACCCGCTCTTCTTGGCCCGATGCCCAAGTCCACGGCCCGAAGCCTTCTGTTGATACGTCGACCGATCCATCAGCCCGACATCCAATCTTCTGACATGTTCCTCCGGCACAACATGATTTTTCCTGCTTTAATTATCTCATCCTGATCGAAGCATCCCGCATCACTCAAAACGCAGATTAAAATATAAACACATATCAAGTGGTTTCATCATCAAAATACGAGATTCAATAATTTTTAATTTATGTATATATATATATATATATATATATATTATATTTGTACATGATAATTGAATTATCTTGACAAGATAAATTATAGATATCATTATGAATTGCATTGAAAATGATTAATTGTAGTATATAGAGAAAGCATGACACGAATGATATACAATCGTCTCGCACCAAGAGTCTATATTATGACATGTTTTCTAAAATTATGAACATATAAATTATTTTAAAAATAAATTTTATTTTATTATTATAATAATAAAAGTTTTCTTTTATATCTTTTTTCGAGCTAAATGAGAGAATGTACTCATACACGTGGCTCCTAACCTAATTGATGAGGTATATTAAGAATAATAATTATATTTTAATAAAAGATTTAAATATCAATATTTATACATATTCAAAAATTAAATATTGATCTTAATCGAAGAGAATATATGAGATGTGTTTCTAGACCCTCCATCATCTCGCTCATAATAGATAGAGACTTTTATATTTTTGTGATATTTTTAAAGTATAAATCTATCAATAATGATAGCTTTGCGAGAAGTAGGAGAGAGATAATAAGGACTAGTTTCGAAAACCAGTAAGAGATATTTTGATTAGTCATAAGCATGTCGAATAAAAATATATATCATTTTCCATAGATCTAAGATATGTTAAATTTGTGTTAATATTTTCACGTTACATCTCTATTTCTAATAGAATGTACTTAAAAAAATTTCTTTATTATCAACTTATCCTGATGTGGATAATCTATACAAATACATATGATATTATTGAAATATTTTCATTATCCTTACAACATAGCATAGTACAGATTTTATATATATAGTTCAACCAAGAAATATGCAAAACTCACCAAACACAAAGCTTGTACCATAAAATTTTTTAGGATTAGACAATCCTCATAAAATAATCACTTCAACTGAGGAAAATCCATATTTTGTAAGACATGTAAAAGTAAAAGTATTAATTTTCTAGTTAATCAAATTGAATAGTCTATGAACAATACAAGTATCACATGTAAATAATAGACAGTTATGGAATGATATTTTTTTAATATTTGTATTATATAATATATAATCTAGAAATCAAGTCAACGTCAAGTCATCCTTTAATATATAAACAATACAAGGTATATATATATATATATAATATGTATATCATTCCATTGAGCGTTGGGAAAGATAATTTATACATATATAATATGCAGAATTCTATTTTTGTTTTATCTCTAACAATTAGCATGTTTTTGTTTGCAATTAATTTATGACCATATTTACAAATGTACTTATAATGGTTGCTTTAAGGCACAAACTAATCACTCCAATTAATACAACTTCGCCAAATCATATTTTGGAACACATGTCTTAATTGATCCGATCGATCAGATCCAAGGATCCTAAAATTTTAAGAAAATATATAGTCTATTATCAATCCAATGTTTTCTTATAAATGATAAGGTGATACAAACTATTAATTTTGTTTTAATGTTGGAATCCCGAAAAGAAGTATATGGTTTTGTCATTAGAAAGTATATCTATTTAATTATGTTGACTTTAAATTGAGTTATAATCATAGATAAGATCAATTCAATTTGTTCACACTTTTGATTCTGATTCATTTTATTTTTAGATTGCTTTTCTGAGATTATTTTTAAATTTGAAAAAACAAAAAAATGTTTATATTTTCATCATTTTTCCCTTTTTTTAATCCCAAAATGGTCTTAGCAGGATTAAAAAAAAAAGAAAAAAAGACACCCATCATAAGGTAAATGGATTCATTACTAATAAATTACAATAATTTTAAATAAAATTAAAGTGTTTTTGACATATTTTTAAGGTAAGAAAATGCAAATTAATTCATCAACCTTTGTTGAATTTCAGATAGGTTTTCTTATTGATTTATGAATAATAATATGTAAAATTTTGATGAATAGAGTTATAATATTTTATCAAGGTATCAAAAATACTATAAAATTACTTAAAAAAACATATATATAACGCCACAAAATACTATAAAATACAACGCCACAAAAGGATACAAACCGAGACACCATGCCAAACAAAAGCGGATTCGGGTAGATAAATACCGGACCCAATCTCACCGACCCGAATCAGACCCATATTAAGAAGGCCCCAACCCAACGTAGCCCAACCCGGTCCATGATAACCCAGGCCACCTCTATAAATATCAGGACGTGTCGAGGCCGGGTTTAGGGTCCGAGAACACGGAACGCCAAGGATAAAGGAAAGCGAAGAAGCAGAGGAGGAAGAGGAGAAGGATTTGTTATAGGGTTTCCTCATCCGGTTGATCTCTCGGAAGGGGAAGCGGCAGGAGGGAGGGCAAGATGAAGACGACCAAGGGAGGGAAGGTGATGAACCCTACCGACGCTTACCGGAAGGAGCTCCGCAAGAAGGAGCTCAAGCGGGTACGAAAGACCAATTTCCCTCGATTCGATCTTGCCCTTAGGGTTTCCTTTTCTTATGATGCCAGAATTGTTTCGGGCCACCCCCCCCTGTTCTTTTCCCTTCTTCTCGATCATTATGCTATAACCTAGTCTGCCTGTTTTTTCTTTTCCCTGCTAAATGGAGGATATCCAATGATTTTATATATGTTGGAGTTTCTACGAATTTCGACTAAGAAACATCGAATTTTTGGTAAAACTGGGAAATTTAATTATTCATCTTCGAAATAATTCTTGGAATCAGTGTCGAGAAATCATTAGGATTTCTGCTATAACCTAGTCTGCCTGTTTTCTTCCCTTCCTAAATGGAGGATATCCGATGATTATATATGAAGTTTAATTCTTTATCTTCGAAATAATTCTTGAAATCAGTGTCAATGTCAAGAATCAATGTCAAGCTGTTGTTGATGAAATCTGATCATAGTTCGTCTTAATAGCATCGCAACTTTGTTTTTTAATTCTCGATTGGTGGAAGTGTATTTACAACCAGTAGGAATCAATGTATCACATGACTGTCTTTCATCATATCTTTTGCTTAGAATAGCAAATTTGTTGCATACTCTTGACTGGTCTTCTGAACCTATTTGATGAAAAATCACAAAAAAACTTTTTTTTAAACTTTATAATGACAAACTTGATCAATTCATCCCTTCCCGGCAAGGTAAGAAAAGACAGTTATTGCAATTACAATGAGTAGGAAGCATTTGTATTCGACTGAATTTATCTGATTTCATATGAAACTAGGATTTGGTTGCTGTTCTCCATTGTGTTTAATGGGCCCCATTAGGTTTTTCTTCTTTACAACATAGGCGATCAGGTTTGAAATCGGGGAAACTCTCTTTGCTTGCAGTGATAAGATTACTTGTCCTGTGATTCTTTGTCCTCATCTTCCTCTCCTCCTTCCCTCCTCCTCCTCTTCCCTTCTCTCTCAGTTTCTCTCCGGTCTGAGCAATACTGACCTGTATTGAGTATCATTATGGCAATCTCTATTGGCACCTTATGGGTCTGACGGCAACTGGTATAGTTGCCAGATTGAGATTCTAAACCTTCGGTTTGAATGGATTTGGCCCCAACCCAATCAAAGTTGTGTCTGGTCCAGGTTAGTTTAAATCTGGAGTTACTCTGTAGAAAGAGAAAGACCTATTCTATGTTGTTAGTTTGAGATGTGATTTGACTTTGACATTTTTGAGAAAATACTGAAATATTGAATAAACTCAATAGTGTTAGTGAAGATAAAAACTTCTATGAAGAAACGACAAAACCTTAGATATGAGGAAAATCATAACAGTGAAGAGAAACTCTATAAAAAAAAGAACATTGAACATTGAAGATACAGAACAAGAAAAGAGGTCAGGAAGGAATTATAAAAGTTTGTATCAGTTGTCAACCTTGACCTGTTCTTTTTGAGGGCTTTCATGAATCATGCATACTCATCAACCACTTAAATTGTAATTGAGAACCTATGCACATTCTTCTCGACCTTAGAAGAATTTATATCAGTCTAATGTTGAGCCTCCATGTTATAGATCCTAAGAAATCTCAAAGTATAGTCATGTTATATCACCATGGCAAGAAAAGCTAACTAACTCCATAAGCATATTGGAATTACTTGGGGCTGCAAATTTTTATATGTGAATAGCTGTCAGTTCATTTCAAGGTTTGATTTGGGCAGTATTTACTGGTTCACCAGCCTACTGGTACACGGACTAAGGGAAACCATCCGGCATGCCTGATACAGGACTTGTACCATCTGGCACACCTAGTACAGGGTGGTACATGCCGTGTACCTGACCGTTAAGTTAAAATCATTCCTTGATAATTTAGTGCTAATATTAACTACAGTGCTTAGAATGGCCAAATGTTAAGATCCTTTGTTTTGTAGCTGCTCGTGAGGATATAGCCATCCGTTAAGCTCCCCGATTATATTGTTTTGTGCCTCATATGGTTGTGTTTTTAAAGGGCCAGGTTTTACTGTTTTAATTTTATATTCATGTGATCATCCTTTTGCTGGTTTAAGAAGTTCTGGTTTATTAATGATCCATGTCATAACCTTTCCTTGCTGATTGGTAATTATGCATCTGCCTTGCTGGCACCACAGATAATAATAAATTTGGTTAGTTCTCCTTTTGCTTTCTTTTTTGGCATGGACAAGAGATGTCTTGCATTTCATTGGAAAATTGACATGAAATGAACTTTGTTAGATATTTATTTTGTATCTGGCTTCACATATCCAAATGAAGTGCCTCTCTTTTTAGACTCTGTTTGATATCATTATTATTTATAATTTTATTTTTCTTAAAAGAAAATAACAGATTACCTAACATGTTAAACTTTTATGAAGCATGTGTTATGAAACATTTATGTATTTGTATATTTACGTATGTATGTATATATGCACATCTACACAGATACATACACATACAAGCTATGATCGTCTTTTTTCTTTATATTTATTTGAAAAACTTCTGAAATCTCAGCTTCTGTTTTGTTGACTCCTGTATCAGCTTTCCTGCTTACAGCCATATTTGAACCATGATTCGGCCAACAAAATCAGTTAGTTATGGTTATGCTACTTGATTCTTTTTAATACAACTTCTTTCACAGAACAAAAAGGAAAGAAAGAAGGTGCGCGAGGTTGGGATCTTGAAGAAGGACCCTGAAGCTATTAGGGAGCAAATTGAGAAGTTGGAAAAAATGAGTAAGTATTCAACCAGGATGCTCAAATTTTAGGTTTTTCTAGAGAAATTACTGTGGATGATTTTCTATGCTTTCCAGTATATTAGAATTTCACACAGCCTATTATGTACGTGCATTATTCATACAGCAGGCAAGCTCGAACTGTCATTTTATTTTTTTTTAAAATAACCTTTTTCTGTATGGTTAAGTGTTTAATGAGTTCCACACTGGTAATTTAGGTGCCTCTTTCATGTTCTCATGGAAGTTTGAGTTAGGAATCACAAAGTCTGTCTGATGTAAATAGTCAACTCATAAGCCTACTGTGTGTGTTGACCCAAGTGTATCCGTTCCACTTGCTCTTCGTTGATCTCAATTTTTTTATTTATGATCACACTTCCTAGTTATTCAGTATTGCTAGATCTTTAATTCAGTTGTAGAGAGAGCCTAGAGAAGGGACGCATGATAGGTGACATATGATATTTGTGCTAATCAAAATATCAAATTATGTTCAGGTTTTCTAAGAAACTCTTTTCTATTGGTTAGAGTTGGCATATTATGCTTACTTCCAGAAGGATACTTTATTGGTGGTATAACAAAGCCAGCCATTTGTTTTTACGCTAATTCTTTTGGAACCATGATAGTAATATGTCCCCAAATTTGTGACGTGAGAAAACAGATGACCTTTCTATAGACGTGGGTAACTATTTAGTGGAATATATAAAACAGCTATGGGAAATGACATGAAATAGATATTGTTATGATAGTGTTTATAGCGGTGATTTTTTAAATAAAATGGACAAACATTATAGTATTTTTGTGAGTTGGAAAGTCTTGGAAAGGGCTCATCCATGTGCTTGTTCAATATGAATAAAGTTTACATCAACTGTATAAAAAAGTTTGAAATCATTTATAAATAACTAAAAACAGAGATGCATGAGAGAACGAATCAATTTTCTTGTTTTGATGATGTACTTGTTTTGAAAGACTTCTCACTCCAGTGGGATAGGATATGGAACATATAGAGAAGGGGACAAAAGGAATCTAGGGAGAACTTCTCATTCATTATTCTTCAGAAATTAAGTAGCTAATTTTTTTTCTCAAGTAGTCTCATATATAAGTAAAAATAGTTGCTAGTGCACCAGGTCCCACCAATACAGGCTCTTTTGTGTGCAAGCAGATGTTGTTTCTGTGGCTTGAACCCTGATCATTCAATTGCAAAGGTGCAACCTTACCGTGATGACGAGGGGCATCCTTAAGGATGTCAGTCATAAGAAATGTTATTGACTCTCTTTGAATAATTGGCTGAGATTAAGAAACAGCTGTCTGAGATAGCTGCAGAGTGGGTCAGAGGACTGTACCCTTCTTGTTCCTTTGCTTTCCTTCATCTTCTTATTATCTGTCACGACCAATGGGGGTCAAGTGGTCCCTCATTTATATATAACGATCAAAGGTTTTTCCATTCATTTTTGAGGTCGTTAATGACCAGCCAATGTTTCATTTGCCTCATGAGGAAGCTATTTTCCTTCTATGCGCTTGACCGACTATGTGCTTGTACATTGAGTTGATGGTTACCCTGAAAATTACACTCAACAGATTATTTTTTTGAACAAAAGTGTGTGCTGTTTTGTGCATTTGTATTTGGAGGATAAGGTGATAGCTTTGACATCATTCCATAGTTGATATCAAGTTAACGGGTTTATGATTAAAGAATCATGTTGGTGCACTAGACTTTTTCTCTGTGGATGCTGCTGCATAGATTCCAACACTAGAAAAGCAATAAGATATAGGTAAATATTTAGGAGAATAGAGAACAGAAAAAAAATATAGATGAGGCTTAACTGGCACATGGATATTCTTTTTTGGTATTTATTGTGCATACTAACTCATTAACCACAGCTCAGTCATCTCTGTTTAAATAAAGACTAAAATTTTTAATATGGTAGGGATCCTCAGAATGAATCACTTTACCAAACATTTCTATCCCACTGTCTTTTGGTGAAAATTTTCTTCCGTGCCTTGTGGTTTAGGGATAATGTGCTACCAAGTGCTGCTAATTTTCAGCAGCTTAAAATACATTAATTAGAACAATTTTAGGCAAGATATTGGAAGAAGCCTATTTAATCTGACGTCATTTTATGACTTCTAACACAATTATTAGATTGTATATGGAATTTAGCTAATGAACTTTAGTTTAAAGAACGAGAACAATCTTCTATACATTACTATGATACAATCCAAGTATAATGGACTGAACGTAATTTAACTCATATTGGACTTTATGAAATAACTCTAGTTCAAGATTTAATATTGAACATGAACTCGTTCATGAACATTATTACTAATAAGATATCTGAGTCATCAAGAAGCCTTTTTTCTGTGGGGTGATTAAATTGGATAAATGTTGTGTGTTAACTAGATACCAGAGAACTAAGTGCTAAGGATTTTGGATATCTTTAAGAGAATGTCATATCCCTTGCACTGAAATTAGATGGAGTTATCTCAGGGTCTGTAAATTGTTCTCTGATTCTGTCATGGTGCAGAGGCAGATGGTGCTCTTGACAAGGCAAGGAAGCATAAGAAAAGACAACTCGAGGATACCTTGAACCTAGTGTTGAAGAAACGAAAGGTTCTTTTATTTATTTCTTTTGCAATTTCGTTATTGTTTTGCCTTAATGCTGATTACACTCTCCGATAGTCTTAGAAGCAGCTGTCAGGTTACTTTTTAAAAAATAAAATAAAATCTTGAATCTCCCATTTTTGTGTTGTATTATTTTAGTACATACAGATGTTTTTGTAAAAAGAAGATAACTTAAAGCTCTGCTTATTTGTTGCTTCCCTTTCGTAGATGAATGTTACCCTAGTTCTCATTCTCTAAATACATTGATCAAATTTGGAATTTTCACATCTGTATCTGCTTTTTTTATAAATATACATTTACATACAATTAGAGAATGGTTATGGAAAGAAATATTGATAGGGATCTAGAGCTCTCTGGTGGGCCTTTGACATATTAGCGTGACATGTTGTAACAATCAAATTCTATCTTCCTTCCTGACTTTTCATAGTACTGCAACAATATAAATATAAACGGAGAGATCAGTATTGATGGTGACAAAAGTCATGGACATGGAAATGGCGGTGGAAGCCAGAGGGATCGCATGATATATAGCAAAAATGACCCTAGGACAACTGGCCTTTAGAAAACTTGTTTGTTTTAGCAAAATATTGTTTCAATCACCAATAGAGATTGATATGTTTAGCCTTGCCATATTCTTAAAAGGCTTCTAATTTTTTAATATAGAAACTATCCAAAAAATTAGTAAATTCCGTAATATCCTTATGGCCTATATACTTTTTCAACTCAGTGTACCCAAAATACCTGTTGAAAATGAAAATCCATCATGAAATATTAATCCAAAGACTCCCCCGATGGAACAAAAACTTGTCTTAATTATATTATATAAATTTAAATTATATTAGAATTAATTTGATGCTTATTAGACTTAAACTTATCTAGGACTCAGACCTCGATTGCACCAAATACAATGATATGAATTAGATAAAGTCCATAAGATATTTAAGATAAGCGAATATGAGTGTTCATTGTTGATTATATACCTGCAATAATGATTTTATATATTGGATAATATCTTAAGATATATGATTAAGAATTATCTTTAAATCCATCAAATGGGAAAAGAAAAGTAATAATGAGAGACTAAAAACATGGTTCCAATCATGATTTGGATTCAGTCACTGGTGGGTGTATAATGTTGTGCTTGGTCTGACAGTTCTAAGTCTGAGTTTGTTTCAGCCGTATAAGCGCTAGAATTTAGAAGTTTTAGATATTAGAAAAAAGAAAATGTTGTATAATATTTATATGCAAATGTAGATTTTAATACAGTAATGATATCATTACTACAGCAATTACTTGAATAAATAAATTATTTTCATATCCTTATATTTTGTTGGAATTTATAATATTAAGGTTTATGATGCTCATTTCATTTTCTTTTGTGGGAAACAATGATCATATAGATATTTTCTTTTTTGCTTTTACAGTGAAGCATGAAATCACTGTATAGACATCAGCAAGCACAGAGAAAATATGGATCGAGATTAAAGTAAATAATTTTTTTCATATCCATACCTTTTGTTGTAAATTATTTTATTTTAATACTAAGGTTTTTTATGCCCATTTCATTTTCTTTTGTGGAAAACAATGACCACACTGAGATTAAAAGGTCCAACTTGATTTGGAAGAATCAAGGTTTTAATTACCTGTTGTTCTTCTTTTGCTTTTACTAAATGTAATTTTTTTCCTACTATCTTGTGTAAACATTAAGATAGATTCCTATCCTCATTTATTTTAGGGTATGTGCTTTCTTAATGAACCATCCCCAACAGAATCAACTTAATCCAACTAGTCATCAACCTGATCTCAGGTTGGTCATGATTGAAAATTCCCATTTGAAAATAGTTTGTGTTGGGTCAAGGTCATAAGATGTCTGTTGCTTTGTATTAGGGTTGGCCTTCAATTTTCCTCTCTTCTTTTAAGTCTTATTAATCACAAACTAATTAGATTTGACCCATATTTATTTGTCTCAGCCTGTGGATCATGAGGACTCTGATAACATGAGTTTTATGTTTTATTATACAGGGTTCATGCTGTTTAGTTTCTTCTCCGTGATGAAAGCTATGTATCAGCCAGTTGCCAGCTTATCTAGGGATATCCTGTTGTAAGCATGTACATAGTTGTATTGGTCATGTACACCACGCACTACAATAAGAAGTTTCATATTAATCAAATAGAATCCTGGACTGTGATCTTTTAGTTGTCCAAAAAATCATCTCAGCTATTTTAATCTCAAAGAGAATAAGTGATTCATAGCTCCCTTGCTACTTTTTGGTCATACAGATGGAAAACCTTTTACAGCACTGTCATAGAAAATGAGAAAATGGAAGTGTGAATAAGAGGTACTTTTTATCCTTCACTAGAGTCTTGAAGTTGAATGTGGATTGATTTAGAATGTCGGTACTCCAAGGAACAGTTTGCATATTTGCTGATGGTATCTGTCTTCCATTATTGAAGAAATGCAAAATTCTACTTCTTTTATGAAATGATAAGGTTCCCAGTTAGTTAAGCTTCATGTTTTCCCTCTTGCAGACAGTTTTTTTGAAGAGAACATATAGGATTGCTTTCTTATGCGTGAATAATTGTTTCTTGGTAGATTGGTCAAATGATTACTCAAAATTTGAGCCTCCGTAGCAATGATCTGTTTGTATGTTTTGCTTATCCATTGTATAATGTTAATGGTTGCATTTCTGGAACTTAGAATGGTTCTCATGTACAATTAGGACCAACATCATATTATAATTTATCTTGGTATGCTGTACGTTGAATGTTATGATGTGATAAGAAGCCAGAGGAATTCTAATTCACTGGAAAAACTAGGAACAGATTCAGATTGGAAGTTTGAATGGAAGTGAGAAGATGAAAATTATTATGCAATGTTGAATTCAGTTAAGTGACTTGTGAAGTTGAATGCAAACAAACTGTTATTAGGCTCATGATGAAATTAGGTGATTCATTTTGATGTCTGTACCATTGCTGTATGGATGTGTTAATATTGTATGTCAATATATGTAAATGTGCTTACATGTAGCTTCTGAACAGGAGTATGAAGAGAAAATGAGGGAAAAAGGTGAAGCACCAGTGATGTTTAGGTGAGGGTTATGTCATGAGTTCTTTGTGTACTAACTTATTTTTCTAGCTTCATATTTTTAATCTTACACTCATCATCTTTGCTGTTACCAGCCACTTGGGGCCCCCTCGAAGAAGAACAAATGCAGAGGAAGAGGAAAGGGTTAGACATCCAAAGCCTGAGGTATGTGTCTGGATCAAGTTGTGTAATTGAAATGCAATTTTGATCAAACTAACTAGCTTGTGGATGCAGGACTCTGTTTACTATCATCCTACATTAAACCCAACAGGGGCACCGCCTCCTGGAAAACCTCCAATGTACAAATCATCTATAGGTCATTATTGTGTTCTCCTTTGCCTGTGTTTTCTCATTAGTGTTTTTTTTCTATCTAATTCATTCTATCGTACTCCAGGACCCAGGATCCCATTGCCTGCTTCTTCATCTGTGCCACCACCGCCACCTCCACCTCCACCACCTTTACCAAGTGTTGATGAACTGACTTCTCGTGATGACACTACCATACCCCCATCCGTACCTTTGCCTCCCCCACCACCAGCTCAACTGAAGGCTGTTGACAATTTAAGTGCATCATTACCACCACCGCCTCCTCCAGGACCCCTGCCCAAAGAACCAGCTCCAGCTTCAACTTTGCTGCCTACCCCACCACCACCACCCCAACAGCCTTTACAACCACCTCCACCGGGCACCACAGCGAAGGAAGCTGATAAAGTTGCAGACTCATCAGATAGGCCAGTATTAAAAGATTCTAATATGGTATGTTTGAGATTATATTTGCCATGTCTTGTCATGCTTCTTTGGAATCTTAATTTGTCATTCTTGTTTTTGAAGTTCTACCATCCTGACATGATGCATGAGTCTTTTTTGTGTCTGTATTTTTTCCCTTTCCTTTTGTTCACTATGCATGTCGATTTATTATTGAGCTGTCATTGTCTTTTTTAGAGATCTTTAATGTTTTTTTTTTCTTTTGTAGATTACAGCCGTACTTCCTCCGCCACCGCCCCCTGGACTGCCACCAAAATCAGCAAACCACCAAACTGATTCCACGTCATCTGAATCTGTCCCCAACAATGCTCCAAGCTCAAATGAAAGTTCAAATATGGCTCCATTGCTGCCACCACCTCCAAGACAGCCACCACCTATGACTCATAGGATTCCTCTGATAAATCCTTTGCAACCTGATATGACGCCTCATGGCATTGCACACTTTCCTCCTGATTTGAGACCGCCACTGGTAGTTCCTGGTATTTCTGGGAGACCTCTGCCGCCTCCTCCTCCAGGAATTATTCCACCAACAATTGCTAGGCCAATGTTTGCTGCACCTCCAGGACCACCACCTTATCCGAGGCCCCCATTTCAGCCAGGTCCCCTGATCCAACATGAAGATGATTTTGATGCCTTGAGGCCTTCAGTGCCTCAGAAGCCATCGTTTGTCAAGTCAGCAGCATCAACTGTTGTCAAGAGACCATTAGCACAGCACAATCCAGAACTAACAGCTATGGTATGTGTTTTTCCTTTTAATTGTCATTGTATTAGCATTGCACTAAACTGTATGGAACCTTTTTATGCACTGGGCTAGACCTCAAACTTACAGGCATTTTTATGATTGTTTTACTTTGCATTATATATATGATATATCTTCATGGTGCTGGCACCTTAGGTAACCCAAGATCACTGTCTTCTGGTTCGTACAGTCCCTATGATCTGATCTATGTTCTTTGAAGTTGGCAGATGCCAGTCTTGACAACAAAAATGGTTTGGTTTCACATTTTGAACACAATAACTTCAATTTTTTGACCATAAACATCATCGTTGGGGACATTGTATTAAGAACATTGTCATTTACTTGGAGATACAGAGAAACATAGTGTATAATTCATAACAGGTAGTTGATGAGCACCCCCAGATTATTCAGCTTGCAGAAATTTTTTAGTAGCTACATAGTGTTTATGTAAATGATTAGAGGGAACAAGAATCCTTTGAAGATTAGTGTGATGTTCAACATGAATCACACCATTCAACAGATTTGCTGCCATATTGATTTGGAACATCATCAAGAGAGTGGCATCGAGAGAAACAAAGTCTTCCGAGGTAGTATTGACCAAGTATCCCCAGTCATTTTATTGTATTGAAAACAGGACCCTTCTAAGCACCCAAATATAGATCTAATGAATATTTTGATGGATTGTCATGCCATGTCATGGCATGAGGGTGTGTTAGTTACTTCCCTGATATGGTACGGTGTAGCAAAGTATATCCCTCTAGCTTTCGATCCAGGTACATGTTGACCAGTTAAGATTAGCATGGCCTGTTGAGGTATCCCTTCTTAATAACTTGATAGGTTTTGAGTACACTAAGCAGGCGAACACCACCGAGGCATCTTCTATTATTCTTTAATATGAAAAAATTTAACCATAAGGCACTAGGTAGCAATTTTGGAATTTTGTTGTACATAAGCCGATGTCATGTGCTTGCAATTTAATCATAGAACTTCTTAGGCTTTATTGATCCTTTCTTTTATGAACATCCTCCTTTGGATTCTTTGGAGCAGGTTCCTGCATCAGTGCGCGTGAGGCGAGAGACTGCTGCTCCGAAAGCCAAACCAAAGCCGCAGCCCTCTGCTGCAATGGGCCCGGCTACAAAACCTTCCGCTCTAACATCTGCTGGGAAACCAGATACAGCAACCACATCAGCCCCCAAGTTGCAGAGTATGGATGACTCATACATGGCCTTCCTGGAGGACATGAAGGCCCTCGGTGCCCTCGATGAGTAGGGCTTACTGTTACCAGGGAGATGAGGCAAAACTGGTATTTTCCCTTGTCAATATACTCAACAGAAAAAAAAGAACATTGTCAATTAATTGTAAAGGCAGCTGTTGCCCCCATCCCATTATTGTTCCACCTGGAATCATCTTTCTTGGCTTTTTCCCGAGACGAGTCATGTAACCTGATTGCGCCCACCATTGGTTTCTGGCTTGGCCTATAAACAAATTGTGATCAGGTTGAATTCTCGCATGTTTTCAACAGAAACGTGTATGGCAACTACACTAAATTGTTACTGCTGTGCGGATCATTTAGCTGTCATATTTTTTAGTTACTATTGCGTGGATTCGATCATGATCAGATCATTTAAGCCAATAGATCATTTAATGATCATAATCATATCGTCAGGAGTCATTTTACATCTGATCTTGGAAATGGATTGAAGTCATTATATAATACAAGATGTTATCGGAATCAGGGGACACTTCACTATGTATGTATGTATCGACATGTATTGGGTATCAGCTCATACCGGTCTGCTCGGATTGGTATATGTTTCTAAGTCATTGATATATAGTCATATTGATATATGTTGATATACTGATATATGATATATATACGAATTTCAGTAGAGTATTTGATAGGTTGTCTGATTTATAAATATTATTCGTACTAAATCGTGCCATGCGATATTGTAAAATTTGATCAGAACATGAATATCATAAGCAATACAAAGATTATAATAGTTTTATTAGATAATAAAAGATAATCGCAAGCCTGAACGAACATTGAGATAAGATTTAAAGGTATAAAGAAGTTAAACAAAACAATTATTTTAATGAGTGCAGCTTCGCCGGGTGTGACGATCATGCTGTTTGATCGTGCTTTTGTCAATCTCAGTGATGTAGAATCAAGTAATTAGATTCATAGAATCATATTTATGCCCAAGGAGGTGATAATATCAAAGCACTTGAATGTTTTTAGATGCTTTGAATTATTGTGCATTGCCAACAATTTTTTATATATATATATAGAGACAAGTCTGGTAGTCAATCATTCCTCCATGATCTGTATGTTTTGAGGTTTCAGAATAATTTGCTAACAAATGAGCACACACATCTCTATCGACCCTCGTTTACGATAAGTCATCAAAATTGCAGCAGTTTAAACCAATTCTAACAATAACATGACCACACATTAGGATAATCAGCTGTAGGTGCTAATTTTAGCTGGCAGCACACAAGAATTCTAATCATAATTTAATTGGATAAGCAGCTGGTGAGGACCAAATGATAAATTTGTGGCCAACAAAAAATGTATTTTACCTTGAGATGCAGCAGTCAGTTAAAACCATCATGAGCCACATCAAGTCGGCAATGAGAAAGGGTAAAGAACTGAGATAAAGACACTAGATTTTAAAGGCACTAAAAGAACCTTGAATTTTGTCCCTCAAGTACATGTTAAATTTAGAATACGACTAATTTTTCGGTTAAAATTGATTACATGGATTGATGTCCTCTCAGCTAAATTGAACATTGTGCCTCTGCATGAAAAGAAAGGCAACAAGTAAATCCAGAAATCTGGCAAATCATCAGCACAAAAGGCGTATTGTACACGGAACACGTAGCACAGGATGCAATGAATTTCTTCCTCAAAATTTCCATCAGGTACTGAACAAAGTTGGGATCTCAAAGTTTTGAGGAGGTTGAGCACCCAGCTACAGGTTTCACCTCCAAGCCACAAGTTGGAAGCAGTCCCTGTTTGCTAACAAATCTTGTCACCGGCCTCGTGAAGCTGATAGCTTCCATGAACTAGAAGCCTTTCAGTTCCACACACCAGATAATACTGCAAGCGAATACTCGCACAGCGCCATGAATGAAAACAGACTGCCTAAAAGTTGTCCCTGTCTTCATCTTTAATGATTGGGCCATCATCAAAACTCGTGCCTGGGGCGAGCTCATTTAAGTCTAGGAACCTAATTCTTTGGGCACCATCTGCTTCATGCCCATTGACATCTGCTTTTTGAGTAGCTGGTTGCTGCTCTTTATCTGCAGCCTTGGTATTGTTAATTTGGTCCTCAGTCACTTTGTTATCAGCTATATCTCCATTGTCTTCTTGATCCTGAGAATCTTGACTAGATGTTGAAAGTTGTAGATCATCTGATGCATCAGAATTTGCATATGTTGCATTTGACTTGCCAGGCTTCGCCAATTCTGTGTCTGTATCTGATAGCTCATACTGTTGGTAATTTACACTTCGTCGTGTAGCTCTCTTGCTACGTCTTAGGCCTGTCTGGAGTCCATCGACTGATCTCAGTTTCGTTTCCTGCCTAGTTCGACCTGGAAACTTCTTATGACGTTGTTGCTCCACTATATCTTCACTAGTACTCAAGGAGAATTCATCCTCTTCCTCGTCATCCTCTGCATTTTCTTCCTCCCAATGATACTCCTCATCCCCCTCCGAGCCACTTGACACCTTTCTCTGCTTTCTACTTCTCAAATATTCCTCATCATACACTGCTTCTCCTACTATGTCATCATCACTGTCAAAATCTGCATCGATATCTGAAACAGTATCAACAAAATCTTTCTCCATATATCTCTGAGGCCTTTTCCTCCGCCTATTGCTGAGTTCCAAATAATAAAACAGTAAGATGAATCAAATTACAAACAAACTACACATCAAGAGACAAACATGAAAGGAAGAAACCTGCGGTCAAGAAGCTCGTCCTGCTGTTCCATATCAGTTTCTTCATAGTCATCGGACTTTGGGGACCCTGCATCATGGTTAACTGGCTCTACTTGCGAAGAGCCATTCCATTTACCATTAGTCAATACCTCAGGCCTCCCAACAACTTCTCTTCTAATAACAGTCTCAGGTGAACTTTGTCTTCTCCTAAAACATATGACGTAGCACTGAAGCATTACAAAGCGGTAAAGTAGAAACACATACTCTTCAAAAAGTTAATTAATGCAGGAGATAAATGAAAAAAAAGAAGATGACTGCATACATACTTGGTTATTTTGATCGCTTCATTGATGGAGCGGTCATAGTCATCTGAAAATTTGTTGTAACATCAAACTACTATTAAGTTTGGTCAAAAATAAGAAAAGAGAAGCTAAAAACCTACAATTAAAACAATAATTTATAACCAATATCCAGATTTTAGGATTCAAACTATTATTTATGCAAACATTCCAAAACTGGCAAAATTAGCTGAAACTGACAAAGATACCAAGTTCATATGAAATTGAATGGGACTCTTCAGATTGGACCAACTAAAGCAATTAGTTTGAGCTGAGGCAAACCTCTTTTAAGACTGACTGAAATTTTATATTGACTGGTATGAAGGTTTCAAGTCTTGACAATACACCAAGTGCCATCCAGACGCTAGAATGGCATGTCAGTGTTGTGCCATGTTTTGGCATGGGTGGTATGCCCATAAAGCAGCAAGCTCAAAAGAAAAAAGATAACAAAGGTTCACAAAAAAATGAATTAAAAGTGCAAATAGTAAGCATGCTAACCTGGATATGCCTATTCTGCTGCTAACTCCAATTTCACATCAAACATCAAGCTCAATGGGTAGTGGCACATATAGTTTCTGCATAAAGCAAACTCTGTGCTTCCTAAACCCTAGCCCGAACAAAGTGCTCTTCGTCCTTTAGGAACAAAGCCTCAACAGATCTTAACTTATAAAAGACTAGTAAAAGTTAAGACCAATTTGGTCTCTGTTTAAGAGTAAAGTTTTAGGAATATCTTAAAATGGAGCCACATAGACTCCCTCTGAGTCTGAGAAATGGTAGAGACTGGCCTTATACCCTTTTGTCCATCAATAGAACAAGACCCTTGTCTCTCAAGCCAGGGACCCATTTACAAGAAGGTTCCACCCAATATTGGGCAAAATCATGCAAACCTATAATCCATGGTATGAAGCACATACTAAGAGGTAGTTGACTGTCAGCATCTAAGCTTGTGAGTCTAGATAGATCTTTAGCTACTCAACTATTCACTCATCGTAGTGACCTAGTCTATTTTTCTATAGCATGATGGATTCTAATGTTTCAAAGTTTCTTCTGAATCTACAGTTACGCAGCCTCAAATGGCTAATCTTTTTTTTATGAAAAGAAAATATTATTAACAAACTAAAAGAAAATGGAAATTAGGTCAGACAATCTGGATAGATCGCCCAAATTATTATCAAGTGATGGCATTTTCATTTTCATGAAAAATTGCAGTTTCTCTAAATACAAACAAGTCTCATATCTATATGTTTCATCATACATCCGGCACAGAAACACGAAAAGGTCTTGATTGCCTCAACCGATCAATCAGCCCTGATATTATTCAAGATGCAACCGTGTGCAGTTGCCCACCAATATGGCAAGACTCAATTTTTTTTACAATATAGCTAGACCAGAATCAGGTCAAAAAGGACTATTAAACTTACTTCCAATGCAAGAATAAAAAGATAACAGACAATGAGAGAAAAACATGAGAGATAGTCAGGGATAGAGAGCATTATAGGTAGTATTCTTGAATCTCACAAAAAAAAATCACATATATCTTTCTGACCAACCAATTGTACATAATTGCAGCTATACAAAATCTATCCTATCACTGTTTGTATCAGATATGGACTCCTCACCAAATTGTAGCCCATGGATCTCTTCCCATCATCTGTTCGGTAGGAATTTCTTCTTTAACAAGTTTTAATGCTTTTGTTTCTTTTTCAGTCCTTTTTGTTCCTTTTGTGGGGTGAGGCGGTTAAGGTTGGAGAGCAGGATAGAGCTAGATCTTAAAGTAGATCTAGACATAACTCAGGTTGAACCCTCCTTAATATTAATTAATAAATACCAAACATACTCAACCAGAAGAACATCGACTAAGATACCTATTGCTGCAAATATTTTATCAATCAAGCTGAAAGAATCAATTATGATACAATTCAGCATTGAGCATTCCACAATCAAACTTGTTCAGTCTTTTCAGTTGCATGTCATCCTCATAAGAGGCATTGATCAAAGTTTCGATCAAAAGGACACCTCTCATGTATCTAATTAACAAATCTCGTACACGTAGCCATATGATGAATGCATATATTCATCATATGTATCATGAAGGCATGATGAGTAGCATATATGATCATCGAACACAAGAGTGGCACGATGAGTTGCAACATAAACAATTGCTGCAATGCCAAGTCCAGCAAGTGTTAATGGTCAGGCAGATCAAGTTTAAGTCAAGGGCATATCAATTGGTTTATGACATTAATTTTGGGTACCAAACAAACTTTCATATCAATTAGTGACAAAGTGTTTCATGTTTGGAAAAATA